TGTGTGTGCGATGTGTGCACAGCGTTAGATGAAGTGTGTTCAGGCTGGGCCTCTTGTGTAAGATCTCCTACTCCACAAATCCCACACACATCTGACCTCAAGCCCTTTCCACAAACATCACCCCATAGTGTAAACGGAGACTGTGTCTTGTCTCCCAGCCGCTCAGACCCAAATAATCACACAGAAACTAGTAATTACAACACTGTTTGGCCGTGGCTCAGATGTGTTCCTAGCTAGCTCTTACATCGTAAATTAGCCCATTTCTGTTAATCTGTGTATCACTGTGGCCTACTGGTAATGTTTAACATCTTTCTCCTTTGGTGGCTACATGGCGTCTCCTCAACCCCGCCTACTCTCTCTATGTGTCTCTGTTTGGATTTCTGTATAGCTTTACTCTGCTGAGCAACTGGCCAAAACAGCTTTATTCATAACAACAGCAACACATGTACAGACGGAATCCCACACCACCATAGTTCTGGAGGCTGGACGTGGGGGACCATGACTCGGCAGGATGTTTGCTTCTCCTCCTGTCCTCGTGAGATCTGCACTTTGTGCTATGTCCTCATGGGCTTCTCTAGTGACACCGTGCAGACTCTCCTTGTTACTTCATCCTCCCCTTTCAAAGATGCTGTTTCTAAATACAGCCATGTTCTGGGGTGCGGGAGCGAGGGGGTTAGTGTAGCTGGAGTTTTAGGGCGAAAGGCCCAGCTCGCTCTGTTCAGCAGGCCCAGTCTCAACCGCCCCCCCCCCCCGAACCGGAACAAGAAAGTAACAGTAAATGCCAAATAGAGGTCCAGTGACCCAAAGTTAACCTTTGGGGTTCTGTCCTGGGCTTTAGGTTTAAAAGAAGGAAGAACTGGGGCCAAGGGCAAGGAGAATGTGTGATTAAGAAGTCTGGTTGATCTTCACCTCAGATCTGGTTCTGCAAAATAGTCCAGAAGTTATCTCTGTTGTCTCTGAAGGGAGCAGCCTTGTCCTAAGGAAGAACGGACCTCGTTCTAGAGTACAGGCTCCTGTCACAGGTCAGCGGGCAGGCAGTCTTTTCTGCTTCTGGACAGACAGGGAGATGCGGTAGGACAGGTGTCACTGGCTTTGAGATGAGTGATTTCCTTGAATTGAATCAAGCAGAAATCTGACAAAACAGGCTGAGTTTCCTGGGTTTTCAGGTCAAAGCCTGGGCTGTGTCAGCCCCAGAAGTCTGGGTTTCATACCCTGGTCCCATGAACCAACTAAAGACACAGTAGTGAGATGTGGAGAAAGGGCAGTGACTCCCAGCCCATTGCCTCATGTCTGCCTTTGAGCCTGGGAGCTGACGTGTTTAGATTTAAGGGAAGGCGAGAGGAGCACACAACTGAGCAGTCTTGTCAGAGGTGTGGTCTCACCCGTCACAGGCTCTGCCACTGTCTTAACTCCATGGTGTCCTGCAAGGTGGCCTGATGAGTAGTCTGTGGATCGCTTCCTGTCAGACAGGCTCCTCCTCCTGGCAGGCAAGAGATGGGGGTGGGGGTGGGGGCGCTATCTATTCTAAGATACCTTCTTCTGTTCTAGACTGTCACAGACACACATAAAATGGAGGAAGAAATGCCAGGTCATCTGCTTCTAATTACCTTGTAGACAGTGAGGTAATTTTTTGTTTTTGTTTTTATTATTTTTTTTAAACCTGAACAGCTTCCAAGTGCCTATCATATTAGGATTTCAGAGGGTGAGGTGGAAGCATGTATTAGGGTTTCTGTTGCTGTGAGGAGACATTCTTATAAAGGAAAAACATGTAATTGGGGTGTCTTACAGTTTCAGGGGTCATGGTGCTGGAGAGGGAGCTGAGAGTTCTGCATCTTGCACAGGCAACAGGAAGTGGTCTGTCTCTCTGGGAGTAGCTTGAGCATAGACAAGACCTCAAAGCCCGCCCCCACAGTGACATACTTCCAACAAGGCCATATCTTCTCTAACAAGGCCACATCTCCTGATGGTGCCCCTCCCTTTGAGCACTTTCAGACCACCCCAGGGGCATGAAGTTAGCACTTTGGGGAGCTGAGGTGAGAGGGTTCTAAGTTCCAGGACAGCATTAGTGAGCTGTGACTTCACCTTAAAACATCAGCCTGCCAGCTAACCTCACCCAAACAGCAGCAATGCGAATGACCTGTGTGGTTTACAGTGTCTACAAGTGTAGTCATTGGTCAGCTACCTGTTAAAATTGAGCTGGATTTTCTGATCAGTTCTTATGGGAGAATGATGGTTATGTGAGTTCTTCAGTGACTCCTGATTGGTCTCAGACTAATCTATGCTGTCTGTAGGGCTAGGACTAGTTATGGCAAGGGACACAAACCCTTCATGGTTTCTAGAGATGCTTTCTAGGAAAGTTTCAGTGGAAAAGAAAGTATGCCCCCGTGAGTAGGGTGTTAGCATTTTGTTAAACAGGGGATTTTTACAGTGTGTGTGTGTGTGTGTGTGTGTGTGCGCGGGCGCGCGCACGCCTGTACATGCGTGGACCATTTCTCTGAGGGATGCAAGACACCAGCCACGGTAATTTGACAGTCCTGTGGTTGGCAGCTTGGGGGCCAAGGGTAGCAGGGAAGCTCCTCACTGTATATATACTTTGGTACTTTAAGAATTAATTTTTGACTCCTAAGTTGACTTAGTAAGCAGATTATTGAGTAGTGATCTTATTTCCCTGAGAAGAGGGTCACTGATGGTTTACATGGAAGTTACCGTAAAAATTATTCTGTAAACTTTGTCGTTGTCTCCGTTGACCTGCTTGTGTGTTTTCTGGCGTTCACGTCCCCCTAGAAACATTTTTTATGAGGTCTGAGGTCAGTGGCCCTCCTGAGTAGTCCAGCACAGGCCCTGACTGAGGCCTCTGGTGAAGATGAAGTCATTTTCAGGTTTCGTTTTTCTTCCAACCGTTTGATCTGGTTAGTTGGGCCAGTTTGGTTTCACCAGGTTATTTCCAGGCGTTTGTGGGTGCTGGCGTGACCAGTGTTTGCTTAGTGAACTTCAGGGTGCTTTCATTTCATTATCTCTGGGTCACACGAACTGTAAGGTTTGAGTTACTGAGGGAGGGGTGTGTGTGAGAGAGAGAGACAGAGAGAGAACACATCTCCTGCCTGGAACCCTTGCAGCATAGGCTGGCCTTGAACTCATGGTGGTCTGTGTGCCCCGTCCCCCAGGAGCTGGCACTATGGGGTGAGTCCCTGCTCCAGGCCCAGGCTACCTTCCAGCTCAGCTTGGCAGGGTTGCCCTTGTGTGGCGTTGGGGGATTGAGAGGTAGTGAGTGCGGCTGTGGAGAGGACGCCGCCAGCTTTCAAGGTGGCCGAGTGGCCACTCTGCTTGCTCACCTTCTGGTTGCCGAGACAGGTTAGCCCTCTTCCTGGTGGGGCGAGAGTGGGGCGAGGAGATGCTAGTGCTTTGGACCCTTGGTGTTCTCAGGTGCAGCTGCTCTGCTGGGCCTGTGCCTGGGCAGTGCCCTGCCTGGTCCAGGAGGAAGCGGGACAGACATGGGGTGCTCATCTTTCTGTATCTTCTTGGCCTTTAACCGCTCGGCTGTTAAGTCCCTGGTAGTCTTGGGATGACAAACTGTCCCAGGGCCCCTGCGTATCAGGAGAGTGTTTGGTTTCCTTGGTGGGCAGGTTCAGGAGGAAAGCGGGAGCTGTGGGCAGCTGTGGGAGGTGGCCTTTGAGAGATCTGAGGGGCAAGGGCATCGTCACTGGGTTTTGTTTTTCAGGAAGAATTGGGGTGACAGTAGAAAGGTTGCTTCCCTGGGCACCATTGCACAGTGGGGTGGACACTGGGTAGGGTGGAGGAGGGGGCTGGGAAAGGGGTGGGGTCAAGGCTGCCTAGAGCTTGTTTGGCTGCTAACAAACCTAAAGCCTGGGAAACAAGAGAGATGGGAGCTCAGTCAAACCCGTCCAGTCATGAAGGAAGAGACCCAGGGCTGCTCCACTCATCCCTCGTTCAGAAAGCAGCTTCCCTGCAGGAAGAGTGAGCTGAGGGACGTCTGCCCACAAGCTTGTTTGTGGGAGGAGGTTCGGGTTTTCTTGAATGTGTTGGGGGATTATTTTTGTTCATTTGAGGATGGTTTCGCACTGCCGCCTTGATGGCCTATAACTTACTCAGTAGCCAAGACTATCCTTGAACTCACTGCCTCTGGTTCTCAAGCTGTGTGCCCAGAGCCTCCATGCTGCTGTCCTTCCCTCTTCCCTCCTCTCCTGAGTCGGCGTACACACTGGCATTTCCACACAGCGTCACGCTTGTCCTTGCCCATCCTTCTACGTACGTTTCTTAAGATCCTTCTTCATATAGCCCTGACAGGAAGACTTGAATAAACACCGTGTGTGTGACACAGTGTGGATCCCAGCACGCCGTCCGGGGCATGGTGCTGCTCTCCAGCCTGTCCTTGCCTTTGTATATTAATAATCCAGCACCTTAAAGGCTTAGGAAAATACTCTTCATGCACTGGCTTTAGATGGCAGAGGTGACATGTTGACCGTATGTGACTGTCAGGGAGGTGACATGTGGGTTGTATGTGACTGTCAGGGAGGTGACATGTGGGTCGTATGGTGATTCTGGGTGTGTTGGATCCGAAGCCACCTTAGGGTTCATGGGCCGAGCGCATGCTCTTTCTTCCCTTTGCTCATGGGGGCTTGAGAAGTTGGGTGTTTTGAGCTGCTGTGGTGATGGTGGACCGGAAGTGTCCTGTTCCTGACTGCTGCATACAAACCCTGACTTGGCTCCAGGTCCTCAAACTGGGCTGTGTGAGGGTGCCCAGTGGGGTCGTTTCAAGACGTAAGTGCCCTCAGTCCTCTTCTCCAGCAGGGATCCAGGCCAGTGCTGTGCTCAAGGTCATAGTGCAGGAGGGTTTGTGTCCCATTGTCATTTGTACACTTGCGTTGGTGTTTATAGAAATGTGAGTCCAACATAATAACAATGTCTTCTTTCCAGTTGCTTAAATACTTTTTCTAGTTTTGTTTTAAAACTAACTCCCCCTCTTTGTTCTGCTTCTGTAGGACACTAAATTATGGATAATAATGGAATATCTTGGTGGAGGCTCTGCCCTGGATCTGGTAAGTATCACTGTAGCTCTGTAGCACAACTCAACCTGTTCCCCCTGGCTGTACAACACTCCTCGGCCTGTTCCCCCCTGGCTGTACAACAACACTCCTCAGCCTGTTCCCCCCTGGCTGTACAACACTCCTCAGCCTGTTCCCCCATGGCTGTGCAACACACCCTCAACCTGTTCCCCGAGGCCGTACAACACACCCTCAGCCTGTTCTTACTCATTGTTGGTTTGATCAGGAATTCTTTATCCATTTCACTTTTAAGGAAACATAAAACTATTCTTAACCTGTTTTTGTTTCTTACACAGAATTTAAAATTATAGTGCTGTTTTGAAAGCACTGGGGGAGAGGGTTGCTTTGTGATAAATCAGTAAATTAATCTGCAGAGCAATGAAGACGTTTTTCTGTGGTTGATTATTTTATATTAGAACTAGTGTATTTTTCAGATCAAAATCATCACCCTCTGGTAGAGTAGCTGTTACTACTGTAATAGCCACCATGGGTTTTTGGTTCTGTTTTTTAAAGTTTTATGTGTATGGGTGTTGTGCCTGCATATATGTCAGTGTGCGTCTTCCATGCCTTGTGCATGAAGGGTCCAGAAGAGGGCTTTGGATCCCCGGGAACTGAACTAGAGTCTCTGTGGAGGTGCTGGGGAGGGACCCCATGTGTTCTAGAAGAGCAGCAAGAGCTCCTAATTGCTGGACCTTCTCTCCAGCCTGCTGCCATGGTTCTTATGTTTCAGATGGGAACAGCTCCCAGCCTAAGCTCATCACATTTTCATTCCCAGAGTCGGAGCAGAATCTGATTATTGAGGTTTGACATCAGGCAAGATGTTGCATACACGGCCACCTTTGATCTTGCCCATAGTGCACCAGGATGGAGCAGGCCTAACCTAGTATTCTCCTTCTGGAGAAAATAGTGCCTTACTGTTGCCTCTTTTCTGTTCTGCCTGGCTTCTGTCCTCCCACCAGGTCCCAAAGAAACCACACAGAGGTCTATATTAATTATAAACTGATTGGCCCATTAGTTCAGGCTTCTTATTAACTCTTCATTATTCTTATGTATGTTAGCCACATGGCTTGGTATCTTTTTCATCGGGGCAATCACATCTTCCTTTTTCTGTGGTTGGGACAGGACTGGGGAGGAATGGACTTCCTTCTTCCCAGAATCCTCCTGTTCTCATTGGCCCGCCTCTACTTCCTGTCTGGTTGTCTCAACTATACTTCCTGCCTCTCTACTGGCCAATCAGCGTTTATTTAAAATATAATTGAAAGAATACAGACAATTGTCTTGCACCATTACACGCCAGCCCACAGGGAGGGCCGTGGACGTTAGGAGGAGATGTTCTTTCGTGCTGGGCTTTGCAGAACACGTGCAGATGAGCGGCCCCATAAAGTGGAGCTTCTGTGAGTTTGAAACACTCTTGCCCAGCGCTTGTCCTCCGTTTCTCTCATGCCTTCTCTCATGTCCACGCAGTAAAAGTAGTGTGGCTGGGGGCTGAGGAGATGTCAGCTGGCGGCAAAGTGTGTGTCGTGAAGCTCGAGGACCCAAACTCAGATCCCCATCACACACGTAAAAGCTGACTCCAGAAGCTGCGCAGTGGCGGCGCACGCCTTTAATCCCAGCACTTGGGAGGCAGAGACAGGCGGATCTCTGTGAGTTTGAGGTCAACCTGGGCTACAAGAGCTAGTTTCAGGACAGGCTCCAAAGCTACAGCGAAACCCTGTCTCAAAAAAAACGAAAAAAAGGAAAAGCTGACACCAGAGATTGTATCTCGGAGTGGCAAGGTTCAGGTAGAACAAGGCCTGGCTCGCTGATCAGCTTAGTCTAGCCAGATTTGTGTGAGACCTGACGGAGAAAGGGGTTGAGGGCGATATCCATGAACGTGACTGTGCTCTTCTGTCCATGGTGGGCTGTGAGTGGCCACCCCCAGTTGCCTAGATCCTTCAGTTTAGCAGTAGAGGTGAGGCGAGTCTTCGTGATGAGTGATGGCTGAGAGCTGAAGGAGGCTCAGCAGGTTTTCTCGGGAAAGCCGTCCCCCCAGCCCACCTCGAGAGCTGTTTTTTTTTTTTTTTATGATGCCACCACCAGGTAGTTTCCTGAGAGGACAGACTCCTAAAACGACATGTCTCCTGAAAGCTAATACACCTTGGAAATCCCACATTGTTGTTAACGATACGGATTGCTTAAAATACTGTTCAGAGTGAAGATTTCAGGGAAAAGTTAATATACAAGGCTAAGCTGTGATATCAAAATGGGAAAACCCCAGCTGAATATATTTTATGGTCCTTTCTATAAATACCCACACAGCAAAAAACCCAGCTTTTCCTTTTTTTCACTCTTGGCAATGCAGGGATGTAGACAACCCCTTCCTTTTGTGCAGTTGGAGTCACTGCTGCTCACAGTGGATTTGATTTGTGGCCCACACAGAGCTGCTCGCAGGGACCCCGTCTCCCCGACAGCTGCAGACCAGTCCTGTGTCTCTCAGTGTGTCGGTGTGCTCATTCGTAGCTCTGCAGTAACTGCTGCCTGTGCAGCTGTAGAGAGTGCTGGGAATGGGCGTGGACCGTCCGTGGCTGCTCCTGGTGGAGTGGCCCAGAGGGACCTTTTCTGAGGGTGGCAGCGGAAAACTGGTTCCACTGACAGGGCAGCTCAGACGTTGAGGACCATGAGCATAAAACAGGCATGTATTTGATTTTGAATGTGCTCAGTTGGTTGACTTTTTTTTAAGTTAGAATTAAATAATAAAATATTTGTAGGACCTCCACCCCCAGTTCCACTCTTGCGTTCTTTGGCATCTACTCTGGAATCTTCTGTGAGTCATCTCTGACAGGTCCAGCTGCCTCCAGGATGCCTGCCATGACTTAGAGAGCTGTTCACACCATAATCCAGGCCTTAGTAACATGCTGCGGAAGATCATGCACGCACGTGCACGCACACACACCATCCAGCCTTCCTATGCAGAGCTGCACGTGAGGACACACAGGGAGGGTAGAGCTGATGAAGGTTCGCGAAGCTCTGAGAGGAAAGGTTGTCATTGATGGAAAGATGAGGCGGTCTGCTGCCTGGGAGCCTAAGGGCCAGCAGTGCGTGCACCCTTTAATAGATTTCAATTGTTGAGGCAAAATATCTGCTTTATGTGAAGATGTCTTTCATTTTAATTATGTTGTCTATTTAGCATGGATTTCGTTTCTTAAACCCTGTGTATGATAGCTTCTAAATGACTAATGGTCTTTTTTTCTTGTTAGTTAGAACCTGGCCCTTTAGATGAAATTCAGATTGCTACCATATTACGAGAAATTCTGAAAGGACTTGATTATCTACACTCAGAGAAGAAAATCCACAGAGATATTAAAGGTGGGACCTACTCTTGTTTTTATTTATTTATTTTTTTTTTTTGAAACACCAAAGTGGTCAAACTCTCTGTATGTCTGTCCTGCCCACTCTGTCTGTCGTGGTCAGGCAGGCTGTTGTAAACCCCAGGGCACCTTGCTGTCATGGGCCCTCGTGCCCAGTGGGGAGAGCGTGCGTGGACTCCCAAGGTGACCCTGCGTATAATTGTATATAATAATGTCCTCCTGCTTGGTTGTCTTGCAGCGGCCAATGTTCTGCTCTCTGAACATGGAGAGGTGAAGCTGGCTGACTTTGGAGTAGCTGGCCAGCTGACCGATACCCAGATAAAAAGGAACACCTTCGTGGGCACTCCCTTCTGGATGGCGCCTGAGGTCATTAAGCAGTCAGCCTATGACTCAAAGGTGAGAGCCCGGACCACACCCAGATATTTGTCCCTTTGGTTTGCATATGTAGCGTTCCTTTGTGGTAGCTGGTAGGCCACAGAGGTAATTTTGTGATCTTGGTTTATGTCAACTTCCTTCTCCACCTCCCTATGTGCCTTTGGCAACCTTGTCCTTCTGGTCTCAGTGACTGTTTGATGTGGTGGGGGCCAGGAAGGCGTGGGTATGAGAGTGGGCGCAGGCGGCCTTCTGAGACTGCAGACCCTAGATATATAGATAGCTCAGGGCAGGCAGTGTTGTGCACAGGAAGACAGTGGATGGGGGCCAGGGCCTGGACAGAGCTCAGCTGCTCTACGTAGGGCATCTGGAGAGAATCAGCGAACCCACAGACAATCCCACAGCAGGATGGAGCAAGCGTGGTTCTTTAGTGACGGCCACCATTTGTTCTGTTTTGGGTCTCAGGTCCTTTATTCCCAGAGGCTCTCAGACCGCGGGAGACTGGAGGTGTTGCCCATCAGGCTGCCTGCTTGTTCCTGTGTTTCTTGCTTTTGTCCTTTAATTCTCTAAAACCATGTGATAGCTCATTCCGTTTCCTCCGGTCAGTGGCCCATGCGCAGTAAACATGGTCATGGCAGAGAATTGGCCTTCCTAAGCCCCAGACTTCTACACAAAAACAAATTTAACCCAGAGACGAGCATAGGTTGGACATTGTTCTTTGTCTTTTATGTGTTTACGTCTTGTCTGTGTGGGTATGCACGTACGGTGCTGGTGCTCTGGAAGGCATGAGATCCCCGAGATGGCACAGATGCTGGGACACAGCTAGAATTCTTGTGAGAACAGTCTGTGCTCTTAAATGCGGAGCTGTCTTTCCAGCCCCTCAAAAAAAGAAAAAAAGATTAACTCATTGCCCCTCCTCTTTGGAGACAGTTTTGCTCTGAGAGCCAAGCCTGACAAACTGGTCACCTACCCATTTTGGGATTGCGAGTATGTGTTAGCGTGCCAGACCCCTGCCTTTGTTTTTCTTTCTTCCTTTTTTTTAATAGGACCCTCCTCCGTGTGTAGCAGATTTCCTGCCTCATTAAATGATGCTTGAAGCATAGGATAACTTGCCTTTGGGACTCTTGTAAGGTATATGACATTACAGCATGCCGTAACGTAGAGATATCTTTTGCTCTGGCCTGGTGAACTGTGGTGATACCGTAGCTCGGGCGCTCAGGTTTCTCAGTTCGGTCATGTAGGAAGGTAGGTGTATTGTCCGCTGTTCACTGTTGGTGTTCATGTCTGAATTTTGGTAGGAGAGAGACTAGAATAACTACCCTGGTCGTTCTCTTTCAGTTGTTGTAAATTAGCTTTTCAACCTTGGCCCTTATGACTTGGGACCCAAGTCACCCATTTCTGTTGTAGCCATGGCCACTCCCTTTCTTGTTTCCCAGAGAGCTTTCCTGGTCTTCTCGCCACGGTGCGTCCCTGCAGTGGCTCCTTGGTGCAGTTCCACTCGGGTTGTTTTGGATAAGGCTGTCCTCCCCTCCCCTGATTTTTCACTTGAATCCCCAGGTGCGCATGTCCTAAATATAGCGGTAGTCACGCAGTTATGTTGGCTGGGATTTGCTGTGGTTCTTTATTTTGGAAACTTCATTAAGTTAATGGGTGTTCTGAACTGGACTAAGTAGCGCTGCTGGCGGAGTGTTTGGGAAGGTCTCTTCTGTCTTCCTGCTCCTATTTATTAGGGTGGTGATGTGGGATGCCCCTCTATGCTATGATCACCATTGGTTAATAAAGAAACTGTGTTGGGCCTGCGCAGGGAATGGGGGAGGACTAAAATGAATGCTGGTAGAAAGGAGGCGGAGTTTAAGGAGAAGCCATGGAGCCCCACCAGAGACAGATGCCGGAGGGGACTTTACCCAGTAAGCCACAGCCACATGACAATATACAGATTAATGGAGACGGGTTAAATTAATATGTAAGAGTTAGCCAATAAAAAGCTAGATCTAATGGGCCAAGCAGTGATTTAATTAATGCAGTTTCTGTGTGATTATTTCGGGGCTAAGCAGCTGGGAATTAACTAGTGGCCTCCTCCTCCTGGGTAGATTGGGTTTAAACATGGATCTTTATTGTGGTCTTTGGTTATATGCCAGATGGCTTGATACTAAATGGACGTGCCGGCTCAGTCTGAGTTTGTCAGTGGGTGCCCGATGCAGGCAGGGGTGCTACACAGGTCCCTGCGCAGGTCTGGCTGGTGCTGGAGGGCCAGGGTCATGCCGGGTTGTTCTTGGTTAGGTTTAGGTCACCCCATGTGTGGGAGCCTGAGGAAGCAGGGCCAGCTTCTTTCTGCCTTTCCCCCACTTCCAAAGTTCTCAGGCCTCTGGGTGCTGCCAGGGTACAGCTCACCTGAAGCAGAGACCATCTCTGCCAGGTCTTGTAATGGGGTCAGTTGAGCTGATTGTGCGGCTTCCAGAGGTCTGGGTGGAGACCCATTGCCACAGGCCCTGTGGACACATGGTGGTGGATGCGCGGTGGTGTCATGCTGTGCCTCAGAGTATGGGAGTCGGTGACAGCAGTCACACACACTTCACAGGGGACAGGCGAGAGACTGGCCTGCTGGGATGCAGCTCCCTTTCCTCTTTGTGAGGCTTTGTCACTGCTTCTTGCCACCTTCAGGCTCGACTGGGGCGCGGCGGTGAGGGTTTCTGGTTGCAGAATGGCAGGTGAGTCCACTGCAAGGGGCTAAGGATCAGGGATTGTCCTAGTCCTGTGACCACCTGAACTGGCCTTGTCTTGCCCCCTGGAGGAGCCATGGTAGCTGTCTCTTTAGGGCCTGGACTGGTGATGTTTTCTGAGGCAGTGATGAGCAGAGGGGCCTCCAGCACAGTCCCATGTCCTGCTCACCCTAGAGTGCCCTGAGACTGCTGTGCTCCGTTCACTACAGTGACCATTTAAGGAACCTAGTGTGTGCACTGACATGATTGTACGTGGGCTTGGGCAGCAGGGCCACCCCAGGGCTGCTGAGTCTCACTGCAGGGTCCACAAGCCCTTAGGCTGGGAATAGATGTCACAGGGTCTTAGTCAGGGCACTGTTGACTGGCTTGCTCCTCTCGACCACTTACTTTCTTTCTCATATACCCCTGGGCCACCAGTCCAGGGTAATGGCACTGCCCACAGTGGTTGGGCCCTTCCACGCCAGTCATTAATCAGGGAAATAAAAAGCCTCATAGGCTTTGCCTATTGGCCAGTCTGATGGGGGCGTGTTCTGAATTAAGGCTCTCCTTCCCAGATGACTCTGGTTTGCCAAGTTGATAGAAATCCAACCAGCACAGAAACTACAGAGAAGGACTTGACCTTTTTGTTAACGGCACCTGGGAAATTGGCAGTGGAGACTGTTAGAGGGGAAAGAACCTTGGGTAGCCTAGCCGTCCCCTGGGACATGTGGACACCGTCCGGATCCTAATTCAGATAAAGCAACTGTGGAAGGTTTTCTGTTCCTTTTTTTTTTTTTAAATAAGCAGTTGGAAAAGCTTAGTTACTACCTGATATTAAAGACTTATAGACGTGCCAGGCAGTGTTGGCACACATCTTTAATCCCTGCATTTGAGGCAGAGGCAGGTGGATCTCAGCGAGTTTGAGGCCAGCCTGGTCTACAACTGTTACATAGAGAAATCCTGTCTGGGGCATGGGGGTGGGGTGGGGTGTATGTGTGTGTGTGTGTATACGACTTTTATAGACACTTCTAGATAAACTCACTGCAAGTTGGAAGTACTGAGTTGAGGCTGCATTGGTTGTATGTGTGTCCCCCCCCCCCCCCGTTTTCCTCTTGTCCAGTCTGGTGGCTGTTGTTGCCCAGGCCACAAAAGAGAATTGCCCTGCACACTGCCCAAGAGAGCTCCAGTGCAGTAAGCTGCATTTCTGCTGATCGCATGTTGGTGTTGTGGACTCACTAGTTGAGAACTACCAGTGTTGCTAATTTTAGTGTCAGTGTGTAAGCGAGCCTGTTTGGTTGGCATATTGAAGCGGGGGGGGGGGGGGCGCACACGTTGGCGGGCGGTGTCAAGACAGGTTTCCGTGTCTGCTCCTCCTCGAGACCCTGCTATGTAGTGCTAGGATTTACAGTCACTGTGTGTGTAGCTTGTACAGTGTCCCTGCCTCTGTCTTCTGAGTGCTGGGATGACAGGCCACGAGGTACAGTGGCTTATACGATGCAGATATGCAGTCGTATGGAGGGGCATCGTATTAATGTTTCCCATGTCTGTGTTTGATCATTTTTAATAATAAACATTCTGTTGGGTTGGTAGAGCGTTTGCCTAGCGTACATGAGGTCCTAGGTTCGGTTCCGAGCACTGCAAGAGCAAACAGACAAACTATGTTAAGTTCCGGGCACAGTGGTCAGCCCTTTACACACCCTCCTGTAACTGCCTCCCTCCTGAAGAGGCAGCTGTCCAGTCTATGTTAAGTTCAGGGCACAGGGGTCAGCCCTTTACACACCCTCCTCTAGCTGCCTCCCTCCTGAAAAGGCAGCTGTCCAGTCCCACGAGACCTTGATTGCAGAGCTGGTGTGGGGACCAAGGTGCCCACTGGATCTGCACAGCCGTGCACCAGGTGCTGCTCAAGGGTTGACGACCATAGAGATGATAGTCAGGATCGCTCTGTAGGGGAGGGGTATGTCAGTAAATCTGTCCACTCGTTTTCTGTGTTAAAATTATGCCAAGGGCTTATATTTCTTATCATTTAAAATGATTGTCTTTTTCAGAACCTGAGATTGAAACACACACCCACCACACTTGTCTGAATATACTCTGTTCGCTCTGGTCCTTACAGGCAGACATCTGGTCCCTCGGCATCACAGCAATAGAACTGGCCAAAGGAGAGCCCCCGCATTCCGAGCTGCACCCCATGAAGGTGTTATTCCTCATCCCAAAGAACAACCCTCCCACACTGGAAGGAAACTATAGCAAACCCCTCAAGGAGTTTGTGGAGGCCTGTTTGAATAAGGAGCCGAGCTTTGTGAGTGTACCCCTTTCTGTGGTCTCAAGCCGGGGTGAATTTGCCCTGTGGGGATTGTTTCAGTCATCGCTGGCTGTCTCCCTGATCTCACACAACTTTGCAGATGAGTTTGATTTCTTTAAATTACGGAGACTTTGTTGTTGTTGTCATTTTATGTGCTAGGGATTTAAGTTGTAATTATTTTGTTAGAAATTTTCTAGCATCTCATATCCCATTGCCCCTGAGGGGTTTTCTCCTCGGTGTGGGGTGGGATCCTGGTTTTCAGTGTGTACAGACAAGGTCAGGCTGGGAACTGGGAAGCTGCTTCAGCAAGAGCAGAGGCTGACCTGAAGATTGTGCTCGGAGACTGACAGGGTACCACCGTCTCTGCTTCCTCTCTTCCCCCCCGCTGGGCCTTAGCTGCTGGGAGCTCTGCCTCATTTCCTGGAGAACTGGGACTTTTTTTTTTAAAGCAGCCTGTGTTCCTGTGTCCCAGGTAGCATCGTATGTGGGTTTCTGTGAGCAGAGTTATCTGGACCTCAAGAATATTCATGAGGGGGCCCATAAACCCTTGTCTAAAAGTGACGAGAAAATTAAGTTTTACAATAGCATCATGTAGTTCCCCCATAGGGTACCAGTTCTGGCAAAGGAACTCATCAGGATCTAAAGCACCATTGGCTGCGGGTGAGGGCAGCAGATCAGCATTTGGACTGGGTTGGTCAGGGCATGGCGAGTGTGGTCTTCGTGCAGTCCAGTTGTTTGTTTATACCACGTGTGTAATGCACAGGGTACTACAATGGCGCTCGGGAAGAGAGACCCAAGTGTGCAGTATATTCTTCTAAAGCTGGTCCAGTCCTCATTTATTCCTGGGGTGCACCTTCCGCTTCAGCTTGAGAAGCCTCGAAACTGAAAACATGGCACTTGGTTGTGTGTGCTTGGAGTGTCACGGGCAGTGGGTGGAGGGGGAGGGATTGCTGAAGCCACTGGTTCTCGGGGATCATGGTAGAGTACACGCTGTTCTTGTTAAGAAAAAACATAGATTCCTGGAGCAGGGGGACTGTGGTGTGCCGGGCAGGCCTCTGTGTCTGCTGCTCCTGCTTGGACCACTCTGCATATTGAGGGAGCTTTGTGCCGGTAGGTGGGGAAGCCACGGCTAAGCTGGGTGAGTTGTTGGGTTGGAGTTGTGCCGTGTCCAGGTGGTTATCTAGCTGTTGGCCCCAGTCACGGAGTGGGGAATCGTAGGTTCACGTGTCTGCTTTTCTAAACTGGAAGTGCTGGTGACCACGGAAACCCGGCTGGGTCTCTCCTGACTCCTGCCCTAACCTGTTGTAGATGAGTCGAGTCATCAACTTCATTTTAATTTGTGGTATTAGCCCAGCCCTATAGGAAGTCATGAAGAGTATGTGTTTCCCTTACTCAGCATCTGTCCTGAGGTACACTATAAATCAGGAGATGTGCACTCTTGGGCAGTACCACGTAAACCAGGAGATGCGCGCTCTCGGGCAGTACCAGATAAACCAGGAGATGCGCGCTCCCAGGCAGTATTACATAAATCAGGATATGCGCACTCTCGGGCAGTACCATGTAAACCAGAGTTCTTTTGTGATGTTATAGGTAGATGTGTTTTTTCTTTGGTTGAATGGTCTGGTAGACTGTTTTTGTCCTTGTTGGAACTCCCTGTCAGGTCTACCTTGTGCGGGTAGGCTCAGGCTCGGGAGTGGTGCAACTCCTTTGGAATAAGCCTGCAGAGGAAGCAGACTCAGTAGAACCCAGTGCTGTGTGGTGCAGCAGTCCGACATTTTAGTCCAGAAGCCTGGCTGTTCAGGTGGAACAGAGTAGAATATCTGGGCACGTGTGTTTTCCAGAGACCCACTGCTAAGGAGCTGTTGAAGCACAAGTTCATAATCCGCAATGCGAAGAAGACGTCCTACTTGACGGAGCTCATCGACCGGTACAAGAGGTGGAAGGCGGAACAGAGCCATGACGACTCCAGCTCAGAGGACTCGGATGTGTAAGTTGTCCTCGTGAGGTCTCCATGCTTCTCTGCGGGGGTGTGCGTGCCTGTGTGCGGGTAGTTCAGTTCCTCATGCATGCGAGGCCAGCCCTGTGCATGGAGCTGAATCCCGGCCCTCTGGACTGGTGCTGAGTTCCATGTTGTACCCATGGCCTTGTTTGGGGTTCTCTGACCCAGTGCACTGCCACGGAGTTTGAGTGACATCTGTATTAATAGGAGCTTGCACAGGACCGTGGCGAGGCTTCTGCTCTTCATTATCCCCTGCCGTTAAGGTCCCGACAGACAAAGTCCTTGTGTGTAGTTCTGAAGAGAAAAGAAAGATTGCTTTGGGGACTCTCGGTGTTGCCAAGCTTTGTATGGGGCAGTTACTCACTGAGTGTGGGTTCCCCACTCAGCACCCACATTTGTTGACTGGGGTGTGAAGCGGTTGAGACCACTGACTGGGAGGTCATTGAGATGCTGTTGCTGGGAGACTAGCGTCAGCTGCAGGGTGGGCCAGGCTGCGGCAGGGGTCTGGGTGGAGGTGCCCTCCCAGCCATCCCAGCCATCCCAGCACATCTCAGGTGCCAGGGACTTCCAGACTTACAAGCAAGTGAATGAAACCGTCTGAAAATAAAATACAGAGTGGCGGGATTGTTGCTCAGTACCTGGCTGGCATGTCAGCGGCCCCGGGTTTCAGCCCCAGTGAAGGAGGCAGGGACGTTGTCCAGGTTTCCGCAGCACAGCGGTAAGGGGTCGGAAACAGTTTGAGCTGCTTATGGAGTGTGTAGAAGACGCGTAGCTTAAAGCGTTGTTGCACCATGGAGAGCAGGCAGAAGACACAGACGGAGCCATGAGAGCAAATGGTGTCACTCGGGGTATAGGCCTTAGGGAAGGGGCCAGCCCCTGGGTCAGAGTAAAGCTGGGACATGGAAGCCAGACTGAGCAGGCCGGCTCTGTGGGTGGGAAAGGATGGGGGCAGCAGGCAGGCCCGGTCATTGCCGTAAGGACTGAGTGGGCACCTTGTCTGTCAGTCTGTAGAGCAGTAGAGCCTTGGTGGTGGCACACAGGGCAGAAGCGGGCTGTGGACTTGGGGACAGTGACAGGGATGGTGAGAGGGGGCCGCTCTCCACCGTGAAGCTGTGTGGCTGCTGTAGGGCGAAAGAGGACGTTTTGAGCCATGGCCAGAAAGAGGTTCTTGGAAAGAAACCAAGGTTCAAGAGAGACTGACAGAGAAGTGGAGGAGGAGGTGGCCCCAGAATAGTGGCACTGTCTGCTAGTTCAAGGGCAATCCCAGGAGCCATGTTCCTTCCTGTCTGCTATGCTTTGTGGCATGGCTGCAAGTGACTTGGTGTGAATGGGCTGTGTCAGTGGGTTCAGTTCATAGCCCAGCCCACGTTGGTGAACTTGGTGGGATTTCTGTGTCAAGGGAAACAGATGGCCAGGCATCTGGAGGCAGCGACTCTGGGGACTGGATCTTCACAATCCGGGAGAAAGATCCCAAGAATCTGGAGAATGGAACTCTTCAGCCATCAGACTTGGAAAGAAATAAGGTATGATAGTGGCTCATGCCTGCTCCTGTGCCCACACTCGCCAGCCCGCGGCACAGCGAGCCTGCTGCAGGAGTGAGGTGTGGGACTGGGGAGTGTAGGTGCTGAGCTGTGCCCGTCTCCTCCTGACCCTCAGCCGCATGGTGGAGCTGGATGTGGGGTGAAGCTCACACGAGAAAGAAAGCTCCTGCGGACTTCAATGAACTCTGATTTTATGCTGGCGTTTTAATTTTGGACCCCTAAAAATGAGTTTTGTGTTTAGAGATTTAATTTTGATGGGGTGGTTTTCAGCCCACTTAAATGTACAAGAAGCTGTGTCTTAAAGATCTTGCGGAGCACAGAGGTTCAGTTTGTCAGGCCGTGTGGACCAGTAGCCACCTCTGGGGTCCCACAGGTCTCCTGATGGGGTGGTGGGAACTGGGCCTCTTGTACAGGGACTGCGTGGAGTTCCTGGCACTAGCCTTCCGGAGTGATTTCCCGTGGGTGCCCAGCTTCACAGGTGGCCCTTTGACCATCTCACTCACATAGTGAGCCCGAAGGGTTTCCAGGAGGAGACTGCAGAATCCTTACCTGGTCCTGTTTCTAACGATGCCTTCTTCTTCCCCAAGGTGAAGGACATCCCAAAGAGGCCTTTCTCTCAGTGTTTATCCACCATTATTTCCCCTCTCTTTGCTGAGGTAAGATCCCTGGCTGCCTTTCTTGGGGGTGGGGCTAAGGTTAGGAGGGAAGAAGAGGGGACCAGGGCTGTCCTTTGTAGGTGGCTGCCAGTACGAATTGGGGGCAGAGGCAGGCTCAGCTTCTGCCTTGGCATCCATGCAGACCACTGGCCATGGGCCCTGCCTTCCATAAGCCAGGCTGATGAGCAGGGAAGGCTGTGTGGATTTCCTGATCTGTCAGGGGCTGTGCAGGTTTTACTGGACTCAAGCTGCTGAATTATTCCTCAGGGACAATCTCAAATCCACCAGAATGAGGTAATATTCTAGAAGTCAGTGTCATTAGGGGTAGTAGGCCATGACTAGAGGTGAGGATTCAGTGCTTGTAATAGTCATCGAAGCTCAGTAAACAGCCTGTTCAACACATGAGCACAATCCACAGTGGAATGTTCCCATCGCTGCTACTCTGCCTACGTCAGGGACGACTGCACACATTAGTGATGCGGCCATTGCATCCAGCACTGTCGTGGTGAAAGAGGGCCAGGGCTCTGATTCTCTGTCTGTCTTTGCTTCTGCTTTGAGACACAGATCAGAGGCAGGTGAGTGGCAGGGACTGTTAGCTAACACAACGCCACAATGGGCCCTGCTTCTGTGGGCCTCCCCAGTGTGGCCCCTTAGAGACAATGCTCTTAGGGCGACAGTGGTCTGGTGTTCTCAGCATCCTCAGAGTCAAAGCTGTGTTTACAGATGAGGGATGAGGGAGACTGGGGCTGGGGACTGAGCTGCTGATGTCAGTGCTGGGAGGTCTGTAATCCTGAGCTGAGCTCAGCCTTGATGTGAGGGGCTCTTGTGCTCGTGTTCCGTTCTGTGAGCACCTCCAGGAGAAGGACTTGGAGTTGGTCTTCATGCTGGGGGGTGTGTCTAAGCACATAGTTGTGACTTTTCACGGAGCACAGGACAGTGTTGCCGAAGTCCCAGGGCTCATGGTTACCACCTGACAGTGCTCTTGACTCCAAAGGCTGTGTGTCTGAGTTCTGCCCTGACCCACAGTAACCCTTAAGGAGTGAACCAGGGTTGCATGTGGTCGGCATTGATAGCACTTTCTGGGGTAAGGTGAGGGATGCACAAGGAGATGCGCGTCAGGGCTGCTGCCCGGCCTGTGCACATGCGTCTCACTGCTCTTGTGTGCGTTTTCAGCTGAAAGAAAAGAGCCAGGCATGCGGAGGAAACTTGGGGTCAATAGAAGAGCTGCGGGGAGCCATCTACTTGGCAGAAGAGGCCTGCCCTGGGATCTCTGACACCATGGTGGCTCAGCTCGTGCAGCGGCTGCAGAGGTAACAGGCTCTGGGCTAGAGCTGGGCTATAGGAGAGCCTGGTGGTGCCGGCATGACTTCTGGGACTAGACAACTGCCACGGGCTACAGCTGGGTGTCTCTTGGATGCTTCATCCTTGTCTGTTCCTGTTGTCCCCCCAGACCAGGGCTTACAGCAAAACCTCTGGGGAAAGGCTTGTTCTGAACTGCACACAGGAAAGAGGTGACTCTGGAAAGGACCCCAGAGCCTTGCCTTTATAGTTCTTATAAACTATAAAGTTCTTATAAACTAAGGCATGCTGCCTTAACACACCTCTGCAGTGGTCTAGTGAGCAGAGGGGTAAAGCCCAGTCACACTGCTTTGTTCAGATACCGGCAGCTTCGGTGCAGCGGACTCCGAGCCAGGCCTGGAGCCTTGCCTGTAGGTCTGTTCTCTGGCCTCAGCGAGCTCCCATCCCTGTTTGGTGGCTTTGGGCACATAGCCTTCATGTTGAATAGATCTTACTGTTAGGGCTAAAATATAAAAATGACTTGCTTGGTGGCTCCCAGTCTTGAGGCCATTGAAGGAGAGAGAGGTCTTTTTCAGACTGCCCCTGGTTTGCGTCTCATCACAAAAGGTAACAGCTCATCACAAAAATAAAGGAAAAATACAGCTTAAAACCAGCTGTATCCTCATCCAACAGGTCGTTGTAAGTTCTTAACTATATTTGATAATTTCCTTTGCCAACTTATAATCATTATAAACAATTATCTAGTGAGATATTTTGCATTGTTTTCTTTGGAATCAAACCTTTGAAATCTGATGTGAATTCTATATGGCTACATCTTTCTCAGTCCAAACTCAGATTTCAAGTAGACACCCATGGCCTTTGTAGTAAGTGGGCCCTCCTAAGTCATCAGATGAGTGAGTGGTGGGGTCCTGATCTTGTCTCTGAACATGGCTGTGGCTTTCCATTTTTCTCCTTTGTGTTCCTGAAGGCCAACCAGCCACAGGGTGGTGCTCACCGGTGTCCATCATTTGGGCTTCTTCCTAGCTTGTTCCCGCATGACTTGTTTCAGACAGTCTCCCCAGAGCGACTTCTGTATGAAGTGTCTTCAGTGAGAGCACTGTGTCCACCACAGGAGGAGTAGCTCACCCATAGCGGGGCATCTGTAGTTCTTGATGTTTGAGTCTTAGATGTGGCTCAAGTGTGCTGCTAAGAGCATCCTGTGGACCCGTTTGAGTATGTTCAGTGTATTATAAAGGGACTCTGGGAGTCTCCTGTGATATGATGTCAGTTTGGAATGACATTATCTTGGCCATGGCACTTATACCATTTAGCATTTAGAAGCAAGACAACACAGACTTTTTTTTTTATTTTTTAAACAAATGGCATGGATCCTATGGTTATAACCCAGTTATTACCATCTCTTCTGATGTTATATGCAAGGTGTTCATGCAGACACACAGACCCTTCTGGGCCATGATTTCTAATGCTCCTAGGACGTGGCTCTCCTAGCCTGCACTTGTAAATTGCTGAGCTTAGACTCAAACTAGCCTAAGCTCTCTGTCCTTGGTAGCACCAGTTTTCAGAAATAGATCCTGGGCTGGAGCAGGCTCGGCATAGCATGTTAGGTGCATTCTACAAGCAGGAGTGTAGGCCAACACCATACACTGGCTTTGCATGCTGCTGTGTGGCTGTAACTCCAGCATGGGATGGGGAGTTGGCCACAGAGACACAGGTGGATTCTGGCAGCTTGCCGGAAGGGCAACCAGAAGGGCAAGATCTAACCAGTAGGACAGGCTGCCTGGAGGATGGTAGAGGGAGAGCCTGCGAGTGGGCCCTTGGTGTCATTTGGTGACCTAATGACTGCCCTTTTCCACAGAGGCTGAACACAGGCTTGCTTTTTATGTATTATGAGTTTTTGTGTTAGAACCCGAACTTTCTTGAATGATAGATCTGTTAACCTGCTGATTCTTGTGCTTGGTTCTTGGACAGTTTGCCCTGGTGTCAGAACTGATGTTTAGTGATGTCTCTCTCTGCTTTCCCTTAGATACTCCTTGAGTGGTGGAGGAACGTCAGCTCACTGAAATGCCTTTTGCATCTGGGTTTGCTCTTTCCTTTCTTCTTCATCTTCCTTCTGTTTAAAAGTCAGTAAGAGCCTTTGCTGACTCTGCGAAGAGGTGTCATGGAGGCCCACCCTCCTGTAGCGCCAGCACCTGCCCAGGGACACAGCCTCACCGTGCCACACCAGGTGGAGTCCTTCCGATGGGGTGGGGGGCTACTCCTTCAAGCAATTATTTTATTTTTTTATTGTTTTTAATTTTAATCATAGTGCACATATTCAAAGAAAGTATCTTTAACAAACCCTGAAATGTATATTTGGGTTGTGACAAGGCGGTTGAAGACTTGCGACCTCAGGTACCTGCTTTATGTTGCTTGCGCCTCCCCCGGGAGACGAGTTGCTCTGGTGGATCAGTGTACAGACTTGTATATAGCGTCATTTTTACGGAAAAACTTTTGGCGTGCATAAGGAATCACTGTGTACACATTGGCCAAGTGCTTCTGTAGATAATGTCTGTGGAGTAAATATTTGACAGGCCAGAACTTGAGTCTATTGCCTTGCCTTTATTACATGTAAATTTTGAATTTCGTGACCAGTGATTTGGATTTTATTTTGTATTTACAGGGTCTGTCATTAATAATAATTACCCTCCCCCATGGAACACTCCTGATTGTACCTCAGCAGATGCAAACTTCCCCCTGGGTTTCCCTGTGCCCCCTTTGGTACACTTGGAAGTTTTTCTTTCTCATCAATGGTACTGTTTCTTAGTGTTGCAGTTGGAACACATCTTGTCTCACAGAGCTTTAAATTATTCTGATTTCTCCCGAATGAAGTGCTCTCGTCTAATCTCTGTTGAGTTGTGCCACTGTGTCTGCACCAGATGCACCGTCCTGTCCTCTCCTTTCCGTGGAGCCTTGTCGTAGAATCTGCACATCATCCACCCCACCTGGAAGTGTCTGAATGCCACACAAATAAATTTTATAACTCACTCATTTTGCATACCATTCTTGAAACATGGCACCGCAGAGCAGACGGGGCACCTGCTCTGCACGTTTGTGGTTGTGTAAGTGTGTATAGAGACCCCAGGGAAAAGTGCCCAGATGTCCAAAAGCCAAATGTCCAGGTTAGTGCCCTATGCAATTGTGTGTTGGTCACTGAGGTGTGGCCAGTGCTGTGTGTTTGTGGAACTGCTGAAGCTCTTGCTGGGGACGTGAATGGTGGTTTCAGTTCTCTTCAAGGAGCTGGGTCTGCTGGTGATGTCTGCCAGGCTCCCTGTTTCTTCATGTGCTACAAAGCACTGCTTGGCAGGGTGGGAATTCTTGAGTTCTCAGAACAGTTCTTGCTGGTCTTGCTCAGACCGCTATAGTGTTTTTGCTTTGATGCTAATTCTTCTCCTCTTGTTGGAGCGCTAGGTCTCGAGGAAGATAGATAGGTTTTGGAGCAGGACCTTTGGGACATCCGCGTGGCCTTGTGCCTGGTGTAAGGTGGCCTCAGCATTATAGGAAGGGCAGGCCAGTGCTAGAGGTGTTGGCTGTGAGACGATTGCTTAGAATAAGTGGGGGTAGGGTCTAGGTCTTTAGACTATTAAATTGTGATAGTCTAAAAGTAGATTTGGGTTGGATTAATAATTTCAATCAATACATTTTGGGTAGGGGAAATAGAACCACAATTGTTAGTTTTCGGATTTTTTGTTTTGTTTTTGAGTCTATGGGTGTTTTGCCTGTATGTATGTCTGTACATCACATGTGTGCAGTGCCCTTGGAGGCCAGACGAGAGTGTTGGATCCCTTGGGACTAGAGTTGTGAGCTGCCATGTGGGTGCTGGGAACAGAATCTGTGTCCTCTGCAAGAACAGCCAGTGCTCTTAACCTCTGAGCCATCGCTTTGGCCCCAGTACTGTTACTTTGTACCAAGAATGTTACCCTGAACCATGAAGTTTGAGATTGTTTGATGTTTTCTAGAGTACTCTGTGCTGTAGTGCCGTGTGCTTTCCTGTATGAGGCTGTTGCAGGAGTCACTCAGAGGGTCAGTCTGTTCTGCGGAGGAGCATCCTGAGGGCAGCAGACATTTCTACTGTCTGGAGCCCTACAGTCTTACAAATGGGTAGCAATATAAATCTTGATAGTGAAGCCAGTTTCTTCTTCCTTTGTAGCACTGGGACATGAGCCCAGGGCTTGCTATGTGTTGGGTGAGGGCTTTCCTTGCAATGCCTTCCACCTGTCTTTAACACGAGCCACTGTGGTTGAGCTGCTGATGCGTGTTGTGTGACCGCAGGCAGATCCTCTGCAGTCTCTAGACTGTATATAAGGCACAGCCTCCTTGTGAAAGCAGCGCATGATTCTTTGGGAGTTTATTGGAAAAGCCTCTGGGGAAGTGGGGTTTGACAGTTTGAAAGTGGATTGCCTTCGAGTCTCCTCCAGCACAGGATGGGTGAAGTGTTCCACGGATACATTGTTTAGCTGATGCTTGTGTTTTCACCTGTCCTTTGTTCAGAGCAGGGCCCATCTCAGATCTACCACCCGTGCCTGCCTTGGCATCACAGGCTGTGGTGGGTGAGCTCAGCAACTCCCAGAAGTCCCCCAGTGCTACATGCAAGCTGTTCACAGCTCACGGGCACAGTTTCTGATGGTGATGAGGCCACCAGTCTGGGAGAATGAATGCCGTGTAGTTTGAGGCTTCAGGTCTGGCTCGTGAGACAGATGGTCATTTGGGAGCTCAGGATGGCTAGGAACTCAGGATCCTTTTGCCTTGGCCTCCTGAGAGCTGGGATTACAGGTGTGCCCTGCCCTGCCAGCTCATTGATGGCTCTGTCCCAGGGGGTAACAGCCTCTTGATTGATCCACCAGTCAATATGGGAGATTATGGGTTCCTGGCAGCTGGGGTTTCTCTGTGGAAGAAGCCCACTGTTCTGTTCCCGAGTTGCTCATCAAGGTTCCTGTTTGGTTCTCTGTGTAGTGTTTTATACTTTCTTGGGCAAAACCTGTAATTGGTTTATATGCATTATATTTCTTACAAAACCTGGCTTCTGTGTTTCTGCTGTAAGCTGTGGCAGTGAAGGTGGAAACTCTGGAGGTCCGAGTTCCGTGCTGTCACCAGAGGTCAATAAAGCTCTCAGAAGTGACTGCTGTGTCTGTGTTTTGGGGCCATCAGACTCTTGAGCTTCCCTGAAGCTGTATGGAGGCCAGAAATGCCAGTCACACAGTCTGGAATCACACTGAAGAAGTCATCTTGTCTCCAGCCCTCCAGGAATTTGGTAACTCGGGGAGCCTGTTCCCAGCACTGCTGGTGCCCGGTGATGGGGTCTGCATGGCCATGACCTCTAAACCTCCCCCCTTCTCACTTGGGTGTGTCTTCATCAATGTGCCAGAGTGTTGTATCTCAGTACCATGCCTGGTGGCTGTCCTGTCCCCTTTCCCGCCACACAAAGACAGAGTGCTGTACCTCAGTACCATGCCTGGTGGGTGTCCTGTCCCCTTTCCCGCCCACCAGTACCCCCCTTCTTCCCACCACACAAAGACAAGACAGAGCTCTTGGTTTTGCCTTCAGACTTCCGTGTGCTGGATTGTGGCATGAGGTATTTTTATTCCCTTTTGTTAGTACTTAGAACCATCTGGTACATTGTAAGGCAAATGATTGACACAGCTCACTCCTCATCCATCGTGAGTCATGGACACTAGCCACAGCCCCCTGACTTGCGCGGGGGGGAGGGGGGTCTGCTTCTGGGATGCAGGGCACCGGGTGAGGACCGTGCTGATCTGGCCAGCTTGCACTGTAGAGGGCTCTGCATGAAGGGAATGGCAGCCACCCAGTCACCCTAGGGAATAGGCAGAGTTTTCCACTGGGAGGCTCAGGTCCCCAGAGGAGTCTGTACAGGACGTGGGCTGTCCTCCTGTCCGCGCCCCATGCCCAGAAGGAATGAGTATAGAAGGAAAGACTTGAAGACAGGCACCGTAAGAGACTACTAGAGAGTGTGCAGGTTCAAACCATGGTGTCAGGAGAACTGGGTCCAGTCACCAGGGCTGGGACTACGTACCATGACCATACAATGCTTATCTGGGAAGCTCGCTCAACGCCCCATAACGTAACAGCACAAACGGCCCCGGTCAACAACATACAGCTTCTCATGCTTGTGAAACAGACAGGAAAACATCACAGCCTAAGAGCCCCCACTGTACACACCACGCACGGACAGTGACGCCCAGGTATTGCACTGGAAATCCGCTTCTCTTAACAGAAAACAACCCCACTACAGTTTGTAAATAGGAATCACAAACAATTTGGTCAGCTTCCACCAAGAAAATGGGTGTGGTAACCAGGTCTCCCTGGAGCCAGACCCCTCGGTGGAATGGAGTGCGCCGCCATTGCTTATTAGTCGAGGAAAGTGAGTCCTACCAGAGTCCTATTATTATAAAAGTAGAAAGACTGGAAAAGAAATGAAATCCGAAAATGATCTCATTTGCTTAAGACTGCGCCATGTGTTGTAGACCCTGGAAAAGTCCATTCTGGAAAATAGCAGTCCGCAGGTGAAAGACAGCGCAACCCTTCCCTAGGAAAAGCGCACTCGTGTCTCAGGTGAACGGATGCGTGGGCCCTGCCCTGGGGTGCACCTGCAGGGCAGAGACGGTCATTTGGCACTCTTGATGACAAGATCTCAATACTGGCACAAGCTAAAGCGCCCCACGAGAATAGCAAGACAAGCCCTCCCATCCCTAGGCCTGGAGGGGAAAGACTGCTGAAAGAGAGATTAGTACTGGAGAAGACAAGGTTTGGAGAGAGGCCTGTGGAGGGAGGTGGGCGGGAGCCACTGCGCATCTTCAGTGTGTTCAGACCGGTGAGGATTTCGCTAGGCTTCCTTCTATCTCCCAGGAGAGCAGCTGTGGCTGGAACAGCCGGTGTGTCCAGCCATCAGTACAGGTGAGATTCTTTGTGACTCAGGATGTGGGCCCGGGAGGCTGAGCTGGTAGCACTTCGTATGACTTCCATCCACCTAAACAACGGAGGGGACATTTTACCTTGGGCGTCTTTATATGCCTATGTCGGTTTATGGTGATGTTTGAGAACCATAGCACACCTTACATGAGGCAATTCCAAGGGCCGTGTAGGGCCACCGTCCCACATGACAGGCCTGTCGTTTGCGACACACCAAGTCTGGCACTGCTCCCAGGGTTTGGGGATACATATGCTCAGAATAATCTATCCCCAGTGACTCGGTTCAGCATGTCTTGGGTGTATATATAGAGGAGGTCACTGCTCTTAGGATTCAGCATGGTAAGGCTACACGCCTTACACTTGGTGATGCAGACTGAGAATCGCTGCCTTCTGGGCCCATCTGCAAGCATTCCTAGGGTCTCCTGGTGGATCGAGAAATGCTTTGGGCCAGGGAAGAAACAAGCAGCAAGGCCAGAAGAGAACTCCCAAGGTGGGGAGCTGGCACGCGGGGGCCCCGCTGCCAAGAGTTCTCATCTAGCCACCTGTTTCACTGCTGGCTTCCTGGCTAGAAGATGACCCCTGCACCGGCTTCCTGGCATAATGGGCGCATGGTAGAGGACCCGGCAGTGTTGGCACGTGCTCACCATGTGTGGTAAGGACGGAAGTCACTGAGGAGTTGGGATGCCACCCTGTGTAGCCAGGCCTACAGAACACACACTAACTTCCCTAGAGAGAAGCCCCGATGTTGGGAAGAGGATCACTGTCCTGAGCACACACAGGAGGGGGCACCTACCTCTCGAACGTGTATTCGCTTTCAGCCCTGAAGTAGTACACGTGGGACTTGAAGTGCAGCTTAAACACATAGTCCTTGTGAATGTTCTCGGATTCTGAGGGGATGGTGAGCGAGTAGCCCAGCAGAGGCAGGCTGGCGAGGGGGTGATTGTCCTGCAAACGGAGAGGTGGCTTTGAGGAAGTGGGCAATAGTTAATCAAGGGCTAGTCTTGAAAGCCAGTCTTGGCCGGTGTGCCATGGTCCCACTAGTGAGTCTGTAAAGAACACG